CCCATCCGCGCATTCATCGATCAATTCTTCTATGTGCCCTGACCAGAGATTGAACCCTCTGCCTCGGCATATTGGGACAACTGAGCTACTGGCGAGGCTTCTACTGTGCTTTTAAGACATTATTTTGACTTGTTCAGATCTCACAATCCCTAGGAACTGAATTTATTTTTTTCTTCATTCAGCAAATATACTGTGTGCAAGTTGGGGCCAAGAAGTGTATTAGATGCTGTGGATACAACGGGGAAATAGACTATCCTCAAGGAGCTTCCTGAGACCGTGGTCTGAGCTGCCTGGAGAAGGAGGTGGGGGTGGGGAGTGAGAGCACGTCAGAGGCCTCCCGGCAGAGGGAACGGCCAGCGTGGCAGGTCTCGTCAGCCGTGTTAAGGACGTCCAACCTCTCAGAAGGCAGCAGGGAGCAAACAGAGGAAGTAGTTTAGCTGAAGAGGTGAAATGATCAAAGTTGATTTGATGACTCTGACTCAAGTGTAGAGGATGAAGGGTTGGGACAAGACTGGAACCTGGGAGACCCAGCTATTGTTGACATCTTGTCAAGAGGTAACCAGGAGAGCCCGAAGGGTAGTTTCAGGGAAATGGAAAGAAAGAGACTGATTCCAAAGATCTCTGGGGTGAAGTAAAGACGGAACTGGTCACTGGTTGTGTGCAGAGAAGAAGGGAGGGAGGAGAGGAGTCAAGGGCTTCTACTTTGAGAAACAGGAGGGCAGCAGGTGGAGCTGTTCCCTGATAGAGACAGGACAGGAGAGGCGGTTAGAGAGGGTCACGTGCGTCCCTTTAGATGTGCTAAGATTTTGATGCCTGTGTGATATCCAAGTGGAAGCATCCAGGAGGCAGTTTGTGGAGATGGAGTTCAGAAGGATGATCAGCCTGGAGACATTAGCACTGAAGTGAGGTGACCAGAGAGATTAAGGTCATCGGGAAAGCTGCTACAGACACACTAAGGAGATACAGAAAACCGGACATGCTTCCAATTCAGTAATAAAGAAATGAATTTCAAGCATATTGCAGAACGGTCACTTAAAAGGGTAATGAAAGGTACACCTGTACACTTTAAAAATTCTGAAGTCCACAGGTGAACAACTGAATCAAAATTTCTACCTCTACCTGTGGCTTGGGAAGGAGAGAGGGGACTCCAGATACCCTGGGGGCAGGGCTGGACATTATCTTTTGAGTAAAAAAGAAAATTTACTAAAAGATTTATGACTTCTTATTCAGTCAATAAATCAGGGTTTTGAAAAACGAATTAAATATCCATAGCTGCTTGAAAGAATAAAGAGTTTTGATAAGCAGATTAAAGCCAGCATAGCGGGTAACTGAGGAAAAGACTTGGAGTCAGAAGTTGTAATAGTTGTGCAAAATGTGCCTTGTTTAAATTTGCCAAGAAAAAAATATCAAGAATGGTTTCAAGTACACAGATAAATAGAGCAGGGCAGAAACTTTAAAGCAAGACCAGAGGCTGACAAACTATGACCCCTGCGCTAAAACTTGGTTTTATAAATAAAGTTTTATTGGAACATAGTCACACCCATTTTTTTGCATATTGTCTATAGCTGGGCTGCTTTAGTGCTTGCTGTAAAGGCAGTTGAAGAGTTGCAACAGAGACTATGTGGCCCACAAAGCCTAAAATATTTACAAAATAAACTTGTCAACAACTGAAGTCCAATGAAAGCCCCAGGAAAGACAAGAAAATGTTTTAAAATGAGAACTAGAGCAATGATATTAAAGATTGAGTGAAAGCTTACACTGAAGAAAGGCCCCTAATTGATATTGACATTGTTGTTCAGTGCATTTGAACATTTCTGATTTTCTTGAGCTTTTTTATGATTAATTCTATTAGATATGGATTCTATGCCAATATAAATTTAAGCCAAACTAATATTCTCAAGATTAAAATGGAATCTCGATGAGTTTGAATAGCTATTCCATGAAGACAATTTTGCCACAATATACATTTGGGCAAGTGGGTAATCAGCTTAGAGGGACCAGATAGTACTAGCCCCATATGCACAAAGAATGAAAAATGTTTCCTCAAGTTATAGAGAGCCAGATTCAGGACCATCCGTCACTTGCTTGGGCAAGTTACTGATAAACTCTACAGAAAAATAACAAACAGTGTGTCCCTGCATCTTGGCTGTTGAAAATGAGATTCCTCCTTGATTGATGTTAGCAGAGAGGCTTGTAAAAATGCATTTCCAACTGATTAGTTCAGAAGGTGTCCATCTCATGCAGTTTTATGACCTGCAGACTACATGCCAGATGTACATTTGCTGTTTATAAACTAACAAAGATGAATGACTAAATTTAAGCATTTCTCTTTGGCCACTGTACTATATATTCCCTAAAGGAAGACTTGGTGGGATTATCATGGGACAAGAGAAGGGAGTGGGGAGCATTAACCCTTAATTTACCAGATTAATGGAAATACCATATAATACAGTACTTGGAAATACTTTCTCTATTGAGTAGTTTCTGTTCATGTTAAAGAATGAATATAAGGGGAAAACCTGAAAGAATATCAAATGTTTGTGTTAAGTTACTCTCCCAAGCAAATGCATTCTAAATCCATGGAGTTTTATTTTTTAATTTTTTTTGAAGTCATTAATGATATTGGGGCCATAGTTCAATGGTCTACGACTTTAAAAATCTGCACCTTAGTAACTGTGCTTCTATTTCTTTGAAAGAGATGGAGGGAAAATGCACTGTATTGCATTATTATACTATATCCTCATGAAAAATAAGCCTGTAGCACAGTTTCATCTTTCTTCCACTAGAAATATTGAGAAATATTTAGACATTTTTCATCTTCATGGCCTTTTGGCTAAGAAAGTGATATTTTAGTAAATTCATATTAAATTTCGAAGCTCAGTTTCATTTGATTTTATTAAAACATTTTACTGTTTTCAAAGGAATAATATGCAGTTTTAAACAATTAATACATTTTTAGAAGAATAACAGACATCTACATGAAATTCTATCATAAGGAAACAGTATGTCATAAGGTCTGCCTATTGGAAATTCTGACTCATACATTTTCACGTGTATAGAAATTGTGGTAACAAAAAAATTAAAATATTAATGTAAAAAGAGTCCAGCAGCATAAATCTAATTTAAGGATTCACCTATTAAGCTCTTTCTTTGTATTACAAGGAAAACAGTGAGAAGATTTGTGGTTACTGTCTCCAAAAAAACCTAAGTCCTTTCGATTTCAAGTGACAAAAAAACCCAACCCAGCCCAACCCAGCAGGCACAGGAAGAAGGGCAGGCTTCTGCTTCTGGAGCCACAAAGGCCAGGAGGTCAGAGCAGCTGACCACAGACACCCCAGAGGTGTCCCTGTGACCTGTTGTTTATTCTCCCGGGCTCTTGGCCCTGCTTCTCCTGGGATGGCTGCGTTCTCAGGCACCCGAGCTTCCCAGCCTTGCAGCTCCAGGCTTGCGGGGACCTCTTCTCAGATAGCTCCTGACATTCGCTTGAGTTAGACAACTAAGGTCCTGTGTGCATTTCTGATCCAAACGTGGAGGGCAGTATGCACTTGGACTGAGAGTTGGGGAGCCATGGACAGATACCGAAATGAGAATTTAGGGCTGTTCCCCAAAGAAGGGGAAATGGGTGTTAGGAGAAATCACAAGTGTTCCCTACATTCTTCCTCAGGTGGGCAAAACGACTTAAGGACCCTGAGCCAGAAGCCCTGATCTGTTTCTTACTTCACCTGTGTTGTTGTTGACCTACTTCCAGGCTGGGCAGTGTAAATCAATTTAGTCTGTTTTCTTTTGTCTCAGTTTGCTGTTAGATAGTGAAGGGCAAGCTTATATTCTATTAATAAAAGTAGCCTAAAGCAAAAAAAAATGGCTAGTATGGTTTTTTTTTAATAAAAGTTATTTTAAAACACTTGTGTAAATAAAATATATAGGTCAACTAGGTATTTTTTCAACTGAGTTTGCCGTAATAAGGTCCCACCAAGACCTGATACTTAGGTCTGAAGATTGTAAAACTATTTTGTCAGCTCTCCCAAGAGGGAGTCAAGTCTTCAAAAACCAATGTTCTTATTAATTGATGCTGAGAAATGTACCATAACTGGCAAGTAGATGAGAATTTATCTATCAGCTGGTCAGTGAACTTCAAGGAAAATGTCATCAAACCACACTAACCTGGTGCTCTTATCCACTAATGGGTTGGTTTGTATGTTTCAAACAAAACACGTACATGGACCATTGAATGTGGTTTCCTTCGGATGTTCCCAGAGAAGTCATTGGCAAAGTCTTTGTAACCTTGACTTTTTATATCACCCACACTGTAGGTCAATGTCGTGTGACAGTTTCTTGATTTCCAGTACTTTTGGCTTGTTTACATTTGCCACATTTTAAATTAACTCCTCCGTTTTAGGGAGGCGTATCCAGGGCTCAGGCTTCTGTTTAAAGTGTGAGAAATGACCTTAATTTTATTTGGAACACACTTTTATCTTCCTTGGGAGAGCAGTTTCTGTGAAAGGTGGTTGACTAATCTCATCTATTTTGTGTTGATTTGTATTGGCTTCATTTCATAGCCTGTTATTTTCTGACCCTTTCCCAAATTAGAACTTCACCCGATGCAGGTCCCTGTTTATTTACCACACACACTTCCTACGTGAGCACCTCGTGCACTTTCCCTTAAATATAGAAGGCCTGAGTAATTATACTTAAAACTAATCCATATTACTTCATGCTACTAATAGACTGTCCTAATTAGTAATTTTTCATTTCTGGCTCAGAATCAACATATGATTCTTTTCAGCCATCTCCAAACTAAACATTTACTTTATACAAAAGCAGCTGCAAGGATTGTGTTTATATTTCATCTGTTTCCAGAAAGTATACCTCATAGGAATTATTCTCAGATGGGGGGAGGGAACAAATCGTTCGATGTGAAAAAACCGCCCAGCAAACAAAACGCATTCCACTTCGCAGCACAGGGCGGGCAGGCCTCTCACTGGTTGTGTTTCTCTCCGCAGATGGACTCGTCGACTGCATGGACCCTGATTGCTGTTTACAGAGTTCCTGCCAAAACCAGCCCTACTGCCGTGGGCTGCCTGATCCGCAGGACATCATTAGCCAAAGCTTACAATCACCGTCTCAACAGGCTGCCAAGTCCTTCTATGACCGAATCAGTTTTCTTATAGGATCTGATAGCACCCACGTTATACCTGGAGAGAGTCCTTTCAATAAGAGGTTAATGCATCTTTCCCTGCTATAGATTCATAGTGATAGCAACAGTTACATGAAATGCTGACGACTGTGAATATGAGGGAAGGGCTTTTTTTTTTTTTAAATACGGTTTTTCCTCTTTCGGCAAATTCTTCACCAAACTTTGCGTTTCAAGCATTTTCGACACAGTTCACATACTTTGTCAATTTCAGTGCCTGCGACATAACAGGACATCCCATTAAAGAGTCAATAAATCTTCATTTAACTAGTGAGCTCAGTTGGAAATGTTTCAAAAGGAGCAGTGAAAAGACCCCAAAAGGCAAAAGAGGAGAGCACTTTTTTTTGCAGCTGAGCTCACTAAATAATATAAATTATGAATGAATGGAATGGAACTGCTAATGCAAGGCGGTGGGATCACATAAGCTGTGTGACTGGTGCTTGGCAGAGCAGTAATGACCTCAGAGTAAGCCCCTAAGTGAAAGCAGGTGTCTCGTGTCTCACTGAGCGGAGAAGGTGATTTACTCTAGAACTCCTGGGTCTGCAGCAATTTCGCAGCATTAATGCAGAGAGACCCAGCAGTTGATTAAAAGTTGTTGCACAAATGTTCCTTATTGCCCCCTTAAATCTTGTACTTCTCGGTCCCGGCAGACTTACAGATTGCCTCCCAATTAATTGGAAAGTATACTTTTCTTCATGTAAGCACCAGCCATGTGATTTATGAAAAAACAGCCATTTATAATTTTAAAATTCATCTCTAAATTATTGCTTTGGCTATCACTCTCCCAAACCAGATTGCAATGAATTAAAGCCCTGGGTGAAACACCAGGCATTTAGAGAATGTGAGTTACACTGAATTAATAGGGACATTGTATTGGGAGCATTTCAGGTCTGGTTTTTGTGAGTCATGGCAGCGTGCGATGCTGTTATTTTATCCTGAGGTTGAATGATCTCTACATTGTCATCACATGGGCCTGAGAAGACAAATGTTCATTCCCCTTCTTCGTTTCCCACAGCCTCGCGTCCGTCATCAGAGGCCAAGTCCTCACCGCTGATGGAACTCCACTGATTGGAGTAAATGTCTCGTTCTTCCATTACCCAGAATACGGATATACCATTACCCGACAGGATGGCATGTGAGTGTGTCCCCATGCACTGTCTCTGTTTGAAATATTGTGAGCGTAAGAACTAGACATTCTTCTGTCACCCGGCATGTTTTATTGTCCCTTGTAATATAGAAGTGCCGCAGCTTTCGGACTCCAGAAATCCGTGGCAGTCCATGTGGCAGAAACTCAGAGTCCTGTATTCAGATAGTTCTTTACAAGTTGATTTCCTTTTCTAAAGCAAGATGATAGTGTTATGGTTTTGAGTGTTCTTTGTCTGAGAAGATTCTTGTTGAAATGTTTAGGAGGGACATTGCATAGTGTGTACAACCTAAGTCCGATGATTCTGGAAAAGGAATAAATAGGTAGATAATACAGCAAATTTGGAAAATGTTAATAAATTGGTAAGTCTAAGTATAGGGTTTAAGAGTGGTCATTGGACAATTATTTCATATTCCTGTAGATTTTAAACTATTTCATATAAAAGTTGGAAAAGTTGATTTTCTCTGTAAAGCATAATAACTTAAGGAGGTTACATTAGATTAATTTGGGAGTCACTCTATGGGATCCAGATGATGCACTAAGTATATCTTGTTTTCTGTAGGTTTGACTTGGTGGCAAATGGCGGGGCTTCGCTAACCCTGGTATTTGAACGGTCCCCATTCCTCACTCAGTACCACACTGTGTGGATTCCCTGGAATGTCTTTTATGTGATGGATACGCTAGTCATGAAGAAAGAAGAGAATGACATTCCCAGCTGTGATCTGAGTGGGTTCGTGAGGCCAAATCCCATCATTGTGTCATCGCCTTTATCCACCTTCTTCAGATCTTCCCCGGAAGACAGTCCCATCATTCCTGAAACACAGGTAGAGCATTCTAGCAGGCAGTGCTGTCAGATTAAACCGTTTGCAGATCATGTGGTTTCCCAAGAATGTTTAAAAAGGATTGTGGAATCCCAGTGCCATTCCAGTTCAGCCTGTAGAATGAACTGTGGGATGCGCTGTGTGCGATGTGTGTGCCCACACACTGCACGGGGACTGTATGGTGGCATATCAAGTTATTGCTTAAAGATCTATTCAGAAATACTTTTCTTCAGGGCACACCTGTATGTATTCAGTAGTTGTAGCCAGGTGGAAAAACAGATTAAACTCAGCAGCTAATAATGTCTTTGCTCATTTATTCTCTCACTGGAAAAGGTTCTTAGCGCCCTTATGTGCCAGGCCTCCTGGCTGGCTCAGTGCAGGTGCTGTTGTGCATGGTCATTTCTCTCAGTAACTTACCATTCAATTATCCTCCTAAATAAAAAAAAAAAAAATGTTTTTGAAAAGGTTGTTTTTGACAGAAAATGTTCATTAATTTTCTCAGGATATTATTTTTAAAATGTGAGTTCTCATGTTCTATAATTTGTAAATCAGAAAGCCCTATTTTCCACAGGTTAAAAAAAATGTAGTAATTTTCTTTAAAACAGCCATATTTTCCCTATTCATTTTACCTACTGAAATATCTGGGCACCATTTTCTTTCCTTTGTGTTTCCAATTAGAAATACTTTCAGATCTTCAAGGCAGGACATGTGGCACAATAGTAATGGTCTTTATTCATAAATAGCTAAGGAAAAATACATGGTCTTTAAAATTTAACAGCACATAGCAGCTGTGTCACATTCATTCTTCAAATATTTGTTGAATTTTTGTTCTGTATCAGGCGTCATCAGGATGTGTCAGATCAGAAAATCAGTCACAGGAAGTACCTGTTTCCAAGGAGTTTACCTGCTAATAGGGAGAGAAAAACAGCAAATGTATAAATATATGTCAGGTTGTGAATAAGACATTGTAAAAAACAAAGCCGGGTAAAGTGGATGGAGGACAATTTTGCGAAGGGTGGTTTGGGAAGCTCTCGTTGATAACATGATATTTCAGCAGAAGCTTTAAGTGAAAGAATCAGCCTTAAAAATGGAAGCAGTCCAGGCAGAGCAAATACAAATGCTCTGAGGGAAGAGCCTGCTTTGCCTGCTCAAGAGATGGCAGAGGCCAGCGGGTGTGGCTGGCGTGAAGGACGTGGTACACGAACCGCAAATCACTGAGGCCAGGCCTGACGAGGAAAAGAACGTCTTCCTTTGAGTAACTGGCAGCCATTGGAGGCTGACACAAGGAGACCAGTCAGAAAGCAGTCTCAGTAGCCAACAGCAGAAATAAATGCTGGTGGCCTGGCCAAAGGGGCTTGGGGTTGTGGTGGTAAGAAGTGTTCCTGCAACGGTGGAGTCCAAGGAAGAGGTTCCAAGTCAAGACATCAGTTCAGGAGTCACGAACTTTACAGGCATCCCTGAGGCGTAGGATGAGGGGGTGTCAGTGGAGTTTAGAGGAGGTGAGCAAAGGTCTAGGATAACAAAATAGGGAATATGCTCGCAGGCAAACATGATGCAGAAGAGACACCTCATTCATTTACTGCCTAACAGTCAGGCAGACTTTGAGTTGCAGCTTTAAGAAATTCATTGTAACCTGTTCGATGTAATGCTTCCTCCCCAGGGTCCACCTTGCAGTAACTGAGTTCCTTAGCCAGGCCTAAAATAGACTTAACCTAGAGGCAGTGTCTGTCTGTAGGAGGAAATTTCTAGCAAACCAAGTCATTGAAATAGGTTTCAAATAGTCCACAGTCCCAGGAACACGTGAAGGTTTTGTTTTTTTATTTTCCATTCCATCATATAGACAGCAGACATTCAGCAAAATTTACTGAGAGCCTATTTATACATTTTTTAAAAAATCATACCCTTAACCCTACAATTTACCCATCAATGTGACTAGCTCAATGAATGCCAACAAATTTATACTGATGCATGCAAAATACATCATGCCGAAAGAGGTATTCTGCTAGCATAAAAGGAAAAAAAGACACACATCCTGCTATGCTAAATATGACAAAGGTTTGAATGAAGAATTGTGGAAGTTCAGAGAGAGCTCAATTCCTAAGGAACCGAAGCAGGCACCCTCAAGGAAGCAGGCCTTAAGATTGAAGGAAATGTGCGAGCCACCATGCGGTGGTAGAAACAAACAACATTATGTAAAAGCTCATGAACAATTTAAATATAGGGCATATAAGGAGAAAGATTGGGCCCCGATTGTGAGAGGCTCTGAAATACCATCCAATGGAGACCTTGAATTCTTTAGACAAAGAGAACCCGGGGACCAACGAAACTTTTTCAGCATTTCTCTAGCGCTCACTCAAGTGAATAAATGCCTAATTGCAAGGAGGAGACGGAGAGATCGGTGAACAGCTAGTGATCCCCGCGTCTCCATACACACCCAGCACAGGGTGGACAGGGCCCAACAATCACAATGGCAGTGGAAGCGGAGAAGAGGGAGTGGCTTAGACAGAGACTCGGAAAGTGACATTGGCAGGATGTAGCTTCTAACTGAGTCGTTAATGGGGTCCAGAATGGGGCTTACACATCACGCAGCTGCCAAAAAACAGGCTGGATGGTTTCTTTTTCCCCTCTGGTGGGGCTGACATTGAGCACTGATGCAGAATAACGTGGTCAGTTTAAATGACATGGGAGATGCACATGTTTTAATGAACTAAATTACAGATATCTGTTCCTTGAAAGCTGGTTAATGATGGCAAAGACAACAGTTATTAAAATTAGGATAACACATGATATTTTGAAATAGAGAAGAAATTCCTAGAAGGTCACAGGAAAAATAGTCATGAAAGATTGCCTTACACATAAAAACCTATCACATTTAGGAGAAATTAGTTTGAAAATAAATGAAGAGGAAGTAAAGTTTCTGCTTTTGGTCTCAATTGCTTGTATTTTCCAGGCCATTCCGGAGTCACAGCATCTGTTTGTCAAACTAATCCTTTGATATTTCACCCCAGTGATGGGAGAACAATGAGTTCTGTTTAGTTTGTTCACCTTATATGCTTCAGTCCAACAAAGGCACTGCCACTCTTAAATGCAGTGCTCTCCCTTCGTCTAATGGAGTTCTAAAAAGTTTCTATATGTTCAGAAACTATTTTACTTAAGACAGTCTGTGGCTGACCTCAGCGTGTTTGGTGAAGAAACCCTGACCGCAATGAATGGGTCTGTCTCTTGAGGTAGAGTGATGCCTTCTTAATCAAGTTCAGGGCGTTGTCAAGGCCCTATTCATGCCAACACCGATCACAGACCAGGACGGAAGCTTGTTTAGTTCATTCTCTTATGCGACTTCCAACTATTTGATTGTTCCCATTGAAACCGATAGCGACACCCTCAGTATCAAGGTTTCTAGTTGAGTTATTAGAGTTTGGAGACGGCGGAGATACACCATCCCCGCATTCTGTGTGAGAGGAGGCGGGAGAGAGAAACACTTCTGAACACCGTGCCGCTGTCCTAAGATTTTCCTGCGGGGGAGGGCAGTCCTTTAGGCCTGCCTGATGAGCCGTGGTAGGGCCTTCTGAGGGAGCCCCTGGAAACACCGTGGAATTCTCCGTAGAGAAACGGTGAGTTCCTGGCCCATGTCTAGAGCATAGATAGCCCTGCACCTCACAGTCTATGTAGTAAGACTATGAAGAGCTGCCATTAGTAGCCAAGCTGATGGGAGTGTTGGTAAGGAGAGCCTGAAATCTTTAGGAAGACTTTTATATACTATGTAAAAATATATTTTTCAAAATATACTTAAATAATGTTTTGGCATGATGTATTTTGCATGCATCAGTATAAATTTGTTGGCATTCATTGAGCTAGTCACACTGATGGGTAAATTGTAGGGTTAAGGGTATGATTTTTTGAAAAATGTATAAAATACATAATTCTTATGCAGGTAACTGTATTAACCTTCTACAGCACAGTTTCACTTTGAAAGGCATATAGTGTCTTTCGTGTGCATCCAACAACACATTAGCTGTTCACAGGGGGATATCTTATGCAGCTTTCATTTATTAATTCATTTACCATCATACCAAAAATCAGCGGTGACTCCCAGTTTATTTACCTAATTATGAGAATGTGCTATTTTTATGTCACCTTTCATCATGGATATGGAATCTGTTATCATTCCTGCCTTTCTAAGTTGTGACCAGCCAGCTGATGAGGCCCCAGCAGAGGTTTCATCTCTCACTGAGGCAGCTGGCGGGGGCCAGATCTTTGGCCCAGACCCCATCCCTGTTCTGAGCCAACCAGCTTCCAGATGTCTGCTCCAATTCTCCAGGGCAACGAGGGCGAGAGATGGGTTAGAGAGAAGCCATGGTGACTGTAAACTAACAAGTCGGTGCGTGCCGGCCTGACAGGGTGGTCACGGCGGCTCCTGCATGAGGAGCAGCACCTGAGGCGTGATTAACTCAGAATAAGTGACAGGAAGCTGTCAGGCGGAGAACAGGCAGGCAGCAGAGGTGGATCCCATCGCTGAGTAAGATAACAGCTCAAATGGCGACTTCTGAACTGCAGCTCTTGTGTCTCAGTTGCCCTACTCGGTTCTTTTAACTATAGTTGACCTCGTAGTTGCATGTGATCACAGTCCGGTGCTTTCACTTCATTCACACCTAGGTGCTCCATGAAGAAACCACAATTCCAGGAACAGACCTGAAACTGTCCTACTTGAGTTCCAGGGCTGCCGGGTATAAGTCCGTCCTCAAGATCACCATGACCCAGGCCGTTATTCCATTTAATCTGATGAAGGTTCATCTGATGGTAGCTGTAGTGGGAAGACTCTTTCAAAAGTGGTTTCCTGCCTCCCCGAACTTGGCCTATACTTTCATATGGGATAAAACAGATGCATATAATCAGAAGGTCTATGGTCTCTCTGAAGCTGTTGGTAAGTTCCATGTAAATACAGTCTGCATCGAAAAAAAAATTATCTTGATTCAGAACTAACATAAAAATAATTATAACCCATGGAAACCAGAGGATGAACAGAGAGAAAAGTGGTAAGATTGTCGCAGGGAAATTACACACGCATTGATTTAGATACACTATACAAAAAGGAATGTATTCCATATGAGGAGCAAGAGAAAGTACGATTTGGGAAGAGGCTCAAATTATATTTTAGAAGAATGTTCTGAATTAGATTTTGAGTTGGCATATTTTTTTCATGTTTTTTTATTATGTCCCTTTTTTTATTTTCTGCTTTTTAAATATAATTTTATCTCCCTAGCTTTCCTTATCTCTGTTTATGGTTTTCTGTGTCTAACTGGTGTAGTTTCAATTCATAGTGATGTCTAACAGGATGTCAGATAACATTTGTGCCTAAAAATTATTTTAGCTCTTTGAACTAGAAGGACCAGTCAATTCAAGGAAAGGATATTCTTAAAACATCAGTCAAATCCTCTGTGTCACTGGGTGATGGGACAGTAGTATCGAAGTTGGACACGTTGAGATACACATAGAAGAGCGTCCAGCTCAGGCTCTGAGCATCAGAAACTAAGGATAGCATGTGCTTTTCCCTATTAATATAGAGTGAATATTGTTAATGTTGCTTTTAACATAACAAACACTGTATCCTGAAATTAATAGATCCCTTGGACTTGGAGCAATTCAAATCAATCAGGTAGTTGCCCCTTCCCTTTGTTCTAAATTTTAAAAATCGACGTTTCCTTGTGAACTCTGAGGGGCTTTTTTTGATCCGTCCATATAACTTTACTGTTAATGTCATTGTTCATTCCTGATAATGTGACAATATGGCTTTTTTACTGTATTGAATCTTATTGTAAATATTTTTCATAACTTAATACTCTTGGAAACTAAATAGCTCTAGTAATTCAGATAGCAAAAATGATTTTTAATTGTTACCATATGATCACCATTTGGAACTGATTTATCTGAGATAATTACTTAACTGGTTGCCCAGCCTGAACTTCATTCTGTGCTGTGAACCCCTTGTGACGAGTAGTTTGGGGGAAAAAATACTAGTTTCTATTAAATCAATACAAAAATAATATATGGAGGTCTTTTTTTTTTTTTAGAAAAACATCTTTATGTGATTAAATCTTCTCTTATAAAAATATAAAAATAAACTCTGCCCCTAAATAAATGGAAATGTAGTCTCAGAACACAATGGTGAAAAAATAAGATTTATCAAAATAATGGCAGTCAGTTGTGGTTCTGCCACGGCTGACAAACGAGCTGTGGTTTGTCTTGGTTCCAGTGTCCGTGGGGTACGAATACGAGTCCTGCTTGGACCTGACTCTGTGGGAGAAGAGGACCGCCATTCTGCAAGGCTATGAATTAGATGCTTCCAACATGGGAGGCTGGACGTTAGACAAGCATCACGTGCTGGATGTTCAGAACGGTGAGGTCTTGTCCACAGATAGTTACTATTGCTCGCTCAAATTTATCATATTGCAACATTTTATTCTATGTATGTGCTAGGATTAGAATGAGTAGAAAAAAAAATAAGGACATACAATTGACCCTTGAACAACCCCGGGATTAGGGGCACCTACCTCCTGCTCAGCAAAAAGCCTGCGTGTAACTTTTGACTCCCCAAAAGCTCAGCTGCTAATAGCCTACTGTTCACTGGAAGCCTTACCAATAACATATGAGAACATAAACAGTCAATTAATATTCATGTTGCATATTGTATATATAAAATGCTGTATTGTTACAATAAAGTCAGCAGGAGAAAAGAAAATCTTACTAAGAAAGTCATAAGGGAGAAAAAGGATGTTTACAGTACTGTATGTATTTATTGAAAAAAAAAATCCATGTATATGTGGACCCGCACAGGTCAAACCTGTGTTCAAGGGTCATCTGTGCTTTCAAAGTCTACAAAAGCCGAAAGTGGGAACTACATAATACTCTCCTAACAAATTTTGTAATGTTCATAGATTCATCACCAAAATAGTTTTCCCGTTGGAATGGAAGTGCCTGACTTTGGAGCTACACTGAAAGGCATCCTCACCACAGACTGGCCCAGGAGTTTTTAACTCCACAGGAAGTCACAGAGTTGATCCAAAGTCCTTTCGGGAGGTTTACCCAAGAATGGGGGGGAGTTTTTTTAAGTAAAGAAAAAATAAAAATCCATGTTACTTTACCAAACTGTTACTAATAGATATTAGTTTTAGGTAATTAGTTTATTCTGAATGTCTAGAGGTTTTTTTTTTTCAGTTCTTTGTAGAGTGTACTTGAGGAAAAAAATATTCTTAACATGCAAATTGGGTTACATACTGTTATTTGACTTCTCAAATTTTAGGAAAAAACGAATACTCTGGGAAAAAGCAAGAATCCAGAATAAACCTTGTAGTAGACCTTGTAATACAAGTGAATGTCTTTGAAAAAACATATTTTAGCTATCACAAACCAAAAGAAAAAACTTAGTTGGAAAATTGGACCAGCTTAATCTCATAAAGAATGTTAGTTATACTAAACAAGTGCTATTGCCTTTACATTGCTTTCACATGCTGGCTACATCGCAGATTCCTAATAAGTCCTTTCTAGGAACGCAGAGCCTTGAGGTCGTAACGCAGCCACCCTGTTGCAAAGAGCCAGAGAAGGAGATTGCAGTCGAAAGAAACAATCCAGCTTTTTGACTTTGCAGAAGCTTTTGGACAGCGCAGAATATTGAACATAGCATTCAACAGAACTAAATATTTGACTGATTAATGGTCACTTTTTCAGATTAATGTTGCCTTGACATTTGTTCTTTTTAAAAAAAAAAATTATTCCATTTGGAAAGGATGCATTTTCAGCCTCCAAATATACTAAATCTAAAGCAGTTTCCAAGCCGGTGCTGGTTGACATTATTCACCTCCAGGAGTGAACAATAACTGAGCAAATCAATACAAAGAAAAAAAAAAAACAAATAAACAAAGAGAAAAGGCCTTCCCGCCTCCCCTATTTCATAGCAGGCCTGAGCGCTGCTCCCGTTCTAACCGTGTCCTGGACACAGGTCGCTGTCGGATTTGCACCCCAGAAGTGTGAGAACAGAACCTGTAACTAGCACCCCGTGAGGCACACGCCTTGGAAAAGTGAGCCCCCATCCAAGGAGGATGGTGGCTTTGCTCTGTCCCACCATACGATGCCTGTGCAGCGGCGGCTTCTGTGCATAATGTTAGAAACACAAGGCATCATCGTGGTCTTTCAGGATGCAAAGCCGGTGCCAGCTCTGTGGCAGCTGCTCTTGATGAAGGCAGTGAAAGCATATTTCACACAATTTGACATATTACTCTATACCTTCAAAAGTTCTTCACAAACAAAACTAGGGGAAACCTCTCGAGATGCATTTTAGTTATTCTGACACCACAGGACCCAGTTCATAACCAGTTAGCCCCAGGATTTCACCCAGAGACTATGGACCAACAGAGAGGCTCCAAGCAAAGAGCCCCAGGAAGGCCCTACCTCTGTGATTCAGTGCCGTTGTGACACCCAACACTCAGTATAGCATTCAGGGGGATTAAGAAACCTGCAGATATTCTGAGCACGTGTGTATGATAAAAATACACACACACACACACACACACACACTCTACCAGAATAATATATAGTTAGCTTTTATTAAAATATCAGCTGAGATGTAAAATCTGGACTACCCCAAATTCTGTCTTCCAAAAAAATGTCATAAATTATAAAGTACATGTTATTTTGAAATGCAAGGTAACCTATTTGTGGAATGAACTGAATGTGATTTCAAATTTTATCCAAGAACAGTTTGACAAGTAGTGGCTTTTCAAAATGACATGTGTCTAATTGAATAAACAAAGTGATTTGCAATCATGACAAGGTGGATGAGCTATGGAAATATATCAAGGAAGAAGGGAAGGCAAAAATGGAGACAGTGACAGGTGTTGGTGCAGGCGCCCTGGAACATGGAAATAAATATTCTAATGTTCATCTTTCTATTCTGTCACAATAAAGGAGAGCCATGGAAGACCAATTATTCAAAGTGATGACTGAGTAAGTCAGGTGCAGAAGGGCGTAGGCTGGCTTATAGGATTCTTCCGATGAAAACCACAGAACTGGCTCTTATAGGAAATTATAGTTCCTTAATTATCAAATAACATAATCACAGAAAGAAGGCTCTTAGCTATCGCTCGTTATATCCTTTGACTATTCAAGGCAAAATGCATCCTATCTATTGTTATGATCTAGCCATATTTAGATGATTTTTCTTAAATATGAATAAACTTATTTTATCTTTCCTGATTTCCTTATGTAAATTTTGCTATGATTGTATATCATCCAAATAGCAAAGCATTCAAAAAAAAAAAAGTAATCCTAGAATTCACCTAAAATGTGCTAAGCTATAAAGGGAACATAATTATTTTGATCTCTTCTTCATTTTAAAATTATTCCAAAGTGGGAGGGAAAAAAATACTTTACGTTTCCTGTTATACGTTCAATGGACTGGTTCTTTGAACAGTTCACCTGCTAAAAAATATAACCACTGGCTTGGAGAATGGCTTTGCAATGTAGAATAGTCCATAACTACCGCATGCGCAGCTCTCAAGTCGAAGCAGCAGGTGGTTTACACAGATGACACATTGAGAAGGGTCATAAAATGGGTACGGAACAATGACAGCTGACCAGGCAGTGCCATGAGACAGAATGGAACCATTGATCTTTGCAACCATGATAAATGACTAAAATTAGACTCTCAACTCAAACCTGCTTTCTAACTATGAAGATATTTAATATTCGTTTGGAATTTTTTCTCAGACTTTCATGGAATATCATAAAGGAGCAGGTTGGCATTTTGGCTTCTTAAAATTTTTGACACTTTCATGCCATAAAGGAGAACCTCTTTAAATAATTAATTGGCCCTTCCACAACAGTTTTGTTATGCTTGAAATTCTGAATATGCCTTCTTATATCAGACAAAAGTATAAGCAAGAAGAATATTCTTTGACAGTATAGCAGAATATTGGTGGTTTGCTATATACTTTCTAACTTGGTTTCCCATATAATATTTTTAACTTTAAAAAAAACAGTGATAAACCCCTAAGGAAAAAATCATATTATAGTGCACATTTTTATTAATTGGATTAATTTATAATATTTTCAACTACAGTTAGCAATTAGGTAATCTTGTCCCTCCCTTAACATTCTGCAGAGCATGGGTCTCAAACTTGGCTGACATTAGGGTCTTCTGAAGAGTTCTCTAAAATCTCAATGCCAAGGCTGTGCACAGACCAACTGGCAGAATCTCTTGGGGGTGAGATCCAAGCATCCATATATTTTTTATAGCTCCCCAGCCAGTGACAACGTGCAGCCAAGTCTGAGAATCGCTGATGCTGGGAATTTGGGTTTTCAATTTTTCTTGTTCACCCTTTGTTTCTCTCACCAGACATTCTTTAAATTCCGAACAGAGAGCATTTTTCATATATAGTCTACGTATTTTGACATATGATATTTCCCTCTAGGTAATTGAATGGAATTCTTTCCAATAGAACTTTAAATAAAAGTTTTTGCAGTCCCAGACTAAATAGCACTCCATTGTAGTTAGACCTGCAGTGAGCCTGTTTGCTTTTCATCTTTACTCTTGCAGCTGTGAGAAAAGTGTGTTTTCCTTCCTGTAGGTATACTGTACAAGGGGAACGGGGAAAACCAGTTTATCTCCCAGCAGCCCCCGGTGGTGAGCAGCATCATGGGCAATGGACGACGGCGCAGCATCTCGTGCCCAAGTTGCAACGGTCAAGCGGATGGTAATAAACTATTGGCCCCAGTGGCGTTAGCTTGTGGGATCGATGGCAGTCTGTATGTGGGGGATTTCAACTATGTTCGCCGGATATTCCCTTCCGGAAACGTAACAAGTGTTTTAGAACTAAGGTATGTCTTTCCTTAATTTGGGGTTTTAATGAAAGCTAAACATGCCTTTGTAAAAAAAGAAAAAATGTTAAATCGATGTCCTAATGTATTTATTTAAACATGTCTTCCCAATGTTTACACTTCTCCCTAGAAAAAGAAGTTCATTCTTGATTAAAGATAGGAAAAGCACAACACATACAAGTAAATATTTTGCCATAAATATGTAAACAAGTGTAAAGTCACCTAATATGTAAAACATCTCACTGATTCCAGTGAATGTTCTCTTCTCTGGGAGGATAGAATTAGAATTTTTAAGTATCTTTAGCTGTCTTTAGAATAACCTTGTGATATGTATTTATTACTCTTTTATTTCAGTTTTTGAAATTAAGGCATAAAATAATTTCCTACAATTATTTTCCTATATTATTAGCCATAATATCAATAGTTAAAGTAACAAGTTGTTCTCTTTGCTTTGTTCATTTAAGTGTGATTCTCAAAATCATTCTATTTTATAAATCATTGGATAAGCCTTGACCTACAAAATTTATTTCCAGTGTTTTTTCTGCTTTAGTTGGCAATTTTCCTTACAAATAATTAAAATCAGTATTCAGCTCATTATATTTTAGAAACCTTTTCTAACTGTGCTTTTTCCACCTTCTCTATCTGCTTCCACCAAGAAATAAAGATTTTAGACATAGGTAAGCATCTTGCTCAAAGGTTATTATTGTATGTTTCAAATGTCCTTTTTACATTCCACTGTGATTCTCTGACATTGATTTCTAAGAACATTCCATCATGAGAGGGGAGACTCAGTATCACAGAACGTCTAAGGAATTAAAACCGCTTGAAGAACTGACATTTACCATATAGTGCAAATTATATTATGTAATGTAATCTGAAAAGTATTTTCAAGTTTATTAATCAAATAAATTTTGTTACCCAAAAATCATTAGAATGAACATCTTTGTATAACAAAAAACTATTTCTAAACTTTGGTTACTGACTCTCATAATCTAAGTCATATTGAATAGAACAAAACTGGAAGCGCAGAAGAGTTTAGTTTGACCCACAGCCAGGGCAGCTCCTGGTTTATGGGGCCCAAAGCCGACTCAGTCTAGGGGGCTCTGCTCAAGGAAAAGAATCTCAAAATATTTTTACTTTGGCAAGTTTTTCAAAAACCCAAGATGGTGTGAACCTGTTGCCAGAGGCCTAGCAGGACTTGGAAGGAACTCAGACGAGTTCCTGGTAAACCGATTAACTTCCTGGTAAATCCATCACTGCTGTAGTTTATGTGGTCCTCGGCTGAGAGAGTTACTAGATTTGAGTTTGAAGAAGTAATGTTTCCATTGACATCCTTGTGGAGGAAAAGACTTTTCTTCGAAGCCCGGGATGAATAATACAGTTGAGGCAAATGGAGAGGCTCTGAAGTCCCTCAGATTCTGTTTGCTGTGTACACATAGCTGGAGAAGGTATAGGAAAAGCTTGCATATGGACACTTCTGACTGAAAACTTTTCCCCAGACGGCAGAAAAGAGGGGAAACAACCTGTTGTAAAATAAAGCCAGCAGAAAGCAAGACAGATTGGACATGAGCAATCTAGTCTGGCCATTCTAACATCTAATGAAATGATCTCGCATGGAAAAATGTGCAGTAGTTTACATGACATCCTTGAGGTTAGTAAATCAACATGACCCATTTAAACTGTTGTGAAGAGGTTGACAACTAGGAAATCAAATCCAAAGTTCTCCTGGAAAAGTGGGTGGCTGTTACATGTCACTTGCACCAGCCATGGGCCCACGACCGTCTCTCGAGACCCCCTATTGATCTGGCGGCACTTCCAGCTAATAGCTCAGTCACATGCTGAGATTAATGCAGAACTTCTGCAGACTCCTGCGTGTGCCAAGCGGTGCTGTTAGAAACCACAGCAGACTATCGAAATCGTTCTGGCCTTGCCTTCTTGGTAACTGTGGAGGAAAGAGGAAAGACAAGCAGGCGTGCGCTCCAACTAACTGTGAAAGAGCTGGAGGCACTGCAGCAAAAGTGATCAAAGCAGCTGCCGTTTAACGAGCTGGCCTCTCACACGCCAGGCACGCTGCCAGGTGTTCCCCACGCGCTACTGCAGATCCACGCCATGGCCCTGGGGCTGCACACGAGGGGGCAGGAGCTCCAGGAGGTTGCGTGTCTTCCCCAAGATACAGAACGAAGAGACGAGGAGCAGAGACCTGAACCACTCCAAAACCTGTGTCCTTTCGCCTGTACCACAGCCAGCTTCTACGGCTCCAAATGGCTAGGTTTCCACGGGGTAATTCCCTGGGTATTCAAAATGCTAGGTTTATTTCATAATCATTTGACATGTTAATTGGCACTATAATTTCTTTCTCTGGAAAAAAAGAATCTATGCAGTTAGAGCTACGTTATTATTAACAACACTTTATAAAATGAACTCATTATGTCCTAACTCCTGGTGTTTGGCGGTGATACTCGTAACCCTCTCATGATCCTCTGTAACCTTTCTCCTCTGTCCATCCTTGTGGCTGCATGTGCCATGCATGTAAATGCACAGTCTGGGCTTTATACTGATGTCTGTGTTTACTAAACCCAGCGTCACTGATCTCTTGCCGTGTGCCAGGCACTTTGACAAATAGCGAGCAGTAGGAGATGAAGTTTGTGCTCTCAGAACTCACAGTGTAGCCGTTGAGAGAAGATAGGCATGCAACAGATTAAAACTCTCCATATCATTCTTTGACACTTTATCGTACCCACGGCTTACGATGGGAGCGTAATCCTGGGGAGGAAGAGGTTGCTGAGAGGGGGCGGTGTGGTGAGGAAATGCTCCCATCCAGGGCTGATATTTGACATAGGTCAAAAAACGAAGTCTGCCTAAACGGACAGCCAAAAGCAAGGAGAGCGCAGCCAGGAAGCAGGAGCAGAGAGCAAGTCTCCTCCTTGGGGCCTGGGATAGAGGTGAACAGACATGTTCTGGGAGGACTCAGACCCCCCCGGATCTGAACGGGGACTCGTGGAGGTAACAATGAGGGGTACAGGCCCGGCTGCTGAGGTCCCTGCGTGCTCTAAGGAACGACTCTTCTCTCTCAGGGTGACAGGGACAGCGGGAAGCCATTTCCTGATCTTGTACATGATGGCGTAACACACACATGGCCTTTCAGGAAGATTAATCGGGTGCCAGCGTGCAGGGCGGTTTGATGATGCCTTAGAAAACCATGAGATGCCAGGTGCCTGAACGAATATGGCTGCCCATGCAGGCAAATGCACCAATAAAATACATGCAGGGAAAGGACACACTGTGCGTGGGTGATGAGGAACAGCGAGATGCAGACAATACCCAAAGCTTTTGAGCCCAAGTCATCAGAGGACAGAAATTATTGACAAAAATGGGGATTCCATTTACTAATTTGATTGATTTGGTCATTGATTAATCAAAACCAAGATATTCGAGCACATTGGAGCTTCTTGCTTTAGCTTAAAAAATGAAAATTCTTTTCCCATGCTCCTTCCTATTTGCGCACCTAGATCATTCTCCCTTCCTAGCTGGGGGGATGCTGCCCGGCTTGCCCCCACCCTCCTCCCTGGCTGACATAGGAGTCACGAAAGACTTACGAGTAGGCGACAGGAAGAAAAGTAAACCGAAAAATGGTCAACGTCTATAAAAACGAACAGTATAGCCAGTCGTTAATGATTAAGTAAAATATAAAAATGCATGCTTCTGGTCCTCTTACTATGTCACATACTATCAACAGTCTCATTAATTGGACTAATGAAGGACTAATTAATAAAAATGTTCAATGATAAATATAAAAAATATAGTCTTATTATTTAAAAAATCAGAATATTCTGTCATACCAAGGTTAGTACTGTCAGGACATTATATCAAATGAAAGTCCCTAGCTATGCTTTTATGAATAGCTATAAATATCACTCAATCAGCATGTTAAATATTTTTTACATTTTCTTTTTTAATATTTTTTGTTGTTAAATACACTCGTCTCCATTTTCCCGCCTCCACCTTCCCCCGCCCCACCCACGCCCACGTCCGCCCCCTCAGTCCTTCCCCTCTTTGGCTTTATCCATGGGTGCTTTATACATGTTCCTTGGTTTGACCCTTCCCTTCTTTTCCCCGTTAAAGTGAAAGCTTCTGAAATGCTTAAAAAATAAGTTTCTCTTAGATATGCTAAAATTTCTCCCCATGATGTTTATAGTAATAGTTTGCTAGCAAACCCTTTTTATAGGTAGTAAATTTTAGCTCATCCTTGTTTCACTTCTTAAAAGTTCCAAATAAAAGAACTTAAATTAATTAACTAATACCAGCCAAGGGGCATTTAAACATGTAGGACTCAAAATCAACTTTGTGAATTTTATATTACCAATTAAAAGATCAAAGGAAGCATCGGTCACAGGTCAGTGAAACTGAATCAATTAAAGTTTAGATACAAATTATAAAAACTTGATTCAGCACTTTTTATTGACTTAATATTTAAGAAAATCAAGCGGGCACCGAAATATCACACCCCCAAAGCCTGGCTTTCAATACACTCAACAGACTTTTGGTAGCCAGAAAATAGATAGTTTACTGGTATGTGTAAATATAATTTATGCTTCTTCAGGTGTTTTGCGTTCTAAAGGCCACGCATAATTTCCAACTGAAAAGATAAAGGTGCCAATAACAGCTGTCGTGTAGCTCGTTCTTGCTGTTCGTCCTCTAGTCTCAGAGGCTGAGCTACGAGACAGTAAATGAGCAGATCACATCTGCGTTTACTGCTGGCGCTGTGTCTGATGGAATAAAACCTTTTGAGGAGACGGCTTGGTGACCATGATAGTCTGAGGCAATTCAGGAGGAACTAAGAATCGGGGGCAATATTCTAAAGGGTTGAACCTTGACCTCCATTCTTCGATTCTGCTTCTCTAAGTCGAAATCTCAGTCACACAGGAAGGTCATCCAGTCCCGGCAGCTGAAGAGCTGCTGACCCGTCCAGCCGCCAGCAGTCCTGTGGTGAGGCAGGGTCGCCACACACTTTTACATGAGATCAGTTATGATCTAAAAACTCCCCACCCATCTGTGCCCACACGCTGGCCTGTCTAGGGCTGTGGCTTTTCCCAAGGGGAGAGCGAGAACAGCTCACCTGTCAGGAAACTCGGAGCTTCTTTAGGTGTCCTTGAACCCCAAGCCCATCACTGATAAAAAGCTCAGAGCTACTCAGCCACCAGGCTGTCCACAAAACATTCCCAGGCTCATGGGTTTGTTTTGTTGTTGTTTTTGGTGTTTGTTTCTTTGTTTTTTTAGTACTTCAGGGTGGATCCCTCTCCTCATTTCTGAGGGGCTGGCTCTGACAAGCAGCTCTCATTTGTTGTGCGTGACCACCCTCTGGGGCAATTACTCAGTTCATGCCCGCCTCTTCTGTAGGGCACCTTTTGCTGCTCCGGGTCACATGCTCCTCCACATTTGTTCTTCTGGAAGATAGAGTTGTGCAAAATTAGACCTCTCATTGGCAGACATTTTTAAAATGACTGACCTATGTTACTTGACTTAGAAATTTCTGTCTTGAAAAAAAGGGAGGTATCAGGACGGAAAAGAGCAAACAGCAGCCCTGTGTTGGACATTGTCTTATCGCTGTCCCACTGGAATAACACAAATGCCAAGGAAGGCACAGCTTACGCCCTGAATGTGCCTGTCCGTGATTTTCACACCAAGAAAACTCGCATGCCATAGCTAAAGAGTGTGCCACTGCTACTCTAGCTGGCAAAATCCACGGTTATTTTTCTCAAAATGAGAGACATCATGAAAAAGTACGCATGAAAGAGCCTTCATCATTCCTTTATCCTTACTATCACTAGTCCACACACCATCCAAAGTGGGAGTTTTAAAAAGGGCCTGCATTGTTTTCGTGCTTTCTGCTGCTATAAGAGCAGGACTGAGGGAACAAATTTGAACCTGTTCAGGTTTCGGTCAGTTTTTTCCTTATGATTTTCAGAAGGCAAGTCGTATTTTAGTTAACAATGAGTAGTGCACTGCTACGCTGAATAGCGTTACAAAGCAAAAGATACATTGCAATGTAGATCTGACAAAAGCAAATCCAAGAATAGTTGACTGCTTGTTGAGTGTGAATTATGTGCTAGGCTCTGTTCTAAGGATTTCATAGGTATTAGTTCATGTCATCCTCTGAGCAGCCTGTGGAATATGGATTATTATTATAACCTTTGCCAGTGAGGAATCTGAGACATAGAAGTTAGATAACTTGCCCAAGATCACACGGTAGTCATGAGGCCATCTGGTTGAGAAGTCATGCTCATAGGTGTACCCACCTGACAAAAAATATTAATAAATGTATATGCATTCACAATGAATATACAACCCCTCATAATTCGTATATATTCAGGGAGACAGGAAAGACTAGGAAAGTCTTTTCAATGTCATGTCTTTCAAAACAGACTGAGCTCGATGGAGTTGCAACTCTGTCACCAGCTCTATGTACCTGAAAGACCATGTCTGTCAACATCAGACTGTTTCTAGGGGGAAACCTCTACAGTATTGTTCTGAATGTTTATATTGATATGTGGCTTTTCACTTCATTACAAAGGAATAAACTGCCACATTAAGGAGCACAATATGTCTTGCTGCATTTAAAATTCCAGGCATCAGCTTGGGAAAATGGCATAATAACACTTAGCACGGCAAGTTGATCGTTTGGTGTAACCCAGGAGTTCGGAAGTGTCTTTATGTCAAATGACTCGCATCCCTTTATGAGTTCTTCCTCTCACTTTTCACCCTTTCACCCCTGTACACGTACTTACACACACACACAGCCTCTCGCTCTGATTTGTCCCTTGTCCCTAAAAGCTATTAAAGACTGGAACGGAGAAATCAAAACAGAAGGTGTCAGGCCTTTGTGTTCTCGGTCTTCCTCTGTGTTAGCAACATCACACCCTCAGGGCTGTGGCGGGTCTCCACCAATGTGGGCATCACTAATGGAAGCCAGAGCCTGCTATTTTCATGATGGGCTCTTACAGGAGCAATGAAGTCCTTGCATTCGCCACTTAAAAGGAAGAGCAGAGAGAATTGCTTCATTAGAACCTACCTGGAAATGAGAAAAGCCACTACACCAGTATTTAGAATAAATATTTTGATAGTTAGATTCATGTTACACATTTTAGATAGTCACACATAAAATAAATGGAAAGAAGCATGTAATTTGTGTGTATGGAGAGGGACAGGGAGAGAGAGAATGAGAATCAGTAAAACTAAGTTTGTCAGCGGGAGACCTGCTGGACTCCTGTCTGTTGACTGACATCCGTGTTGAGACACCAAGTCACTTTGCCTCTTTTTAGCATTTTTTTCAGAGGGCAGTATTTGCACATGCTACAAAATTATGTTAATTCTAAAGAAGTGGCACTGAGTGTTCATAGGAAGGTGCCATAATTTGTCCATTTGTTGATAATGGTGGTCCTACCATTTGTCACAGGTAGTGGGACTTAAAATAGTAAATATTTGCGCTTCTTCACAGTTCTAAACTGAGGCAGTACATTTTGTGAACCAATGCCTGCATCTCACCAAATCCATCATCGACAGGTTTCAGAGAAACCTAATGCGCAGGCTTTAAATATAAAGCTGATGGATCCGTTGTTCTGACACCCTGTGTTAGGCCACCTGCACTTGAGTGACGTCATCTTAGTATTTGACCCCGCAGCTCAGGCCAGACATTGTGACTGCATCAGGTGACTTTGCTGGATTAGGACAGAGCAACAAAAACAGACATAGTGCTGCATCTTTTTGAGGGGCAGGTGTTCAGCTGTATTAGGTTTTAAGGGGAGGAAACAGGAAAATGCCCTGTGACGAGGGCAAACGAAATGAAAAGGATATTGGACTTCAGCCAAGAGTTAGCTAGCTGCCCCCTTCTCCCTTTCTCCCAGAGTAAACTGTGTGTCTGTCACTCAGGGCAGTGATTAAATGGCTTGGCACTGAACCAGACAGATTCAGAGGACTTGCTTCTGTGTTTTCAGCGCGAAGCGTATCACCGTCTAAAATTAATTATTTTTAAGATGGCTGTTTTAATAAATATTCAAATCCTCAGCAACAGGCAAGGAAGGAAAAGCGTCATATCAGAGGAAAAGCTACCAGTTCTTGACGGTCTCTCTCACAGGTCGTGGTTGACTTCGCTGTTCCTCTCCCGGTCTCTGGGAACGGACTGTGGCTCACAGTCCGCTCCTCGCGCTGGGGCCTGTTGCGCTCGCTCTTCCTCCGTGTTTCAGGGGTAACCCTCTCGTGGTGCTTCTGTCTCGTCCTTCCTTACAGCAGCAACCCAGCTCACAGATACTACCTTGCCACCGATCCCGTCACAGGAGATTTGTATGTCTCGGACACCAACACCCGCAGAATCTACCGCCCAAAGTCACTGACGGGGGCCAAGGACTTGACAAAAAATGCCGAAGTCGTGGCGGGCACCGGGGAGCAGTGCCTTCCATTCGACGAAGCCAGATGCGGGGACGGGGGCAAGGCCGTGGAAGCGACACTCATGAGTCCCAAAGGTACTGACATTTACCGATTTGGGGATCTCTTTTTATTAGAAAACGGGGGGTAGAAAACCCAGTTAGCGCCCGATTGTGCCTGCTGCTGAGGCCTGCGTTCTCTCCTGAGCTGCGTGCTGGCAAGCTGCGCCGCACACCAAGTGTTTGCAAAAGCCGTTCCGTGTGAAGCTGCTGGAATCCTAAGTTGATTTTACAGTAAATATTAGGTCCTTGGCATTTTTTATTGTCATTCCATTTTTCTTTTTTCAACTCCTCGAAGAAGAAAGCAGCTACTCTCTGTTATTCAGGTCACATCCTGCTAAACGTCAAACAAGTGCCCAAATTCTTTCATTGTCCTGGAATTTCTTTGTCTTGCATGAGTCCCAGGCCTCTTTAAAAACCATCACCAAGCAACCTTATTAGCCCTCACCCAGCTTGGAGCTATTAAACTTTTGTTTCTATGCCATGGGAAAAAGCGCTTGCTGGGAGGAATTTCTGGAGGTAACAAGAGCTAAAATTCTACGTGATAAAGGTTTCTAGCTTTTAAACCAGTTGGGACTGACTCTTTGCTCATGTATTATGCCACTCATTACAGTGTGTTTTGGTTGAGGGCTTTAGTTTTTTTCATTATAGCCAGCAACTATTGTGTGAACAAGGACTGGCAAAAAGTATTTGTTGTACTGAATTATTCATAATAGCAAATTTCACTGAAACAAGGTCAACGAAACACTAACCTTGGCTTAGATCTATTTTTGTTGGAATATATTAGTTACTCTAAGTTCAGTGTAACAGTTTGACCTATTTCTATAATTTATAGACAATAACATTATACAGACATTATAAGTGATATTTAACACACAAGTCGTATATATATGATTCTCACACAAAGTGGGAATTCTTACAAATCCGGGTTATTTCTTTATTACAGTTTTACATATATTTGTATTGCAAATGCATATGGTGGGTTTTTCCTAATGTGTTCGCAGTCTGTAGTCCTTCCTGTTACCTGTCACCCATGTTATTGCTGGGGTTAAACATTGACTTCAGTGATGGGCCTTAAAGTTTAATGAAAAATTTTAAAAAAATAAAAGTTTAATCAAAGTAGTCATTTTTGAAAAGTAAGTAACACTTGCTTCTCTTTCTTGGATCAAGGAATGGCGATTGATAAGAATGGATTAATCTACTTTGTGGATGGAACCATGATCAGAAAAGTTGATCAAAATGGAATCATTTCGACTCTCCTGGGCTCTAATGACCTGACGTCAGCCAGGCCTTTGACCTGTGACACAAGCATGCACATCAGCCAGGTAGTTCCAGCGTCGGCTGACTTCTCCATGTTTCCTCTAAGTGACCCAGTTTACTGTGTCAGCCGACTGGGATGACGCCATGTTCAACTGCGTGTGTCGTGTGTGGCGGTCGGAGTGATAGAGCCATTCCGTTCAGATGTATCTCAGGAGCTAATAAAAAGTTACTTTCTTCTGTAGTTCTACATTTGATGAATTCAGTGAGATATAGAACGATTATCACTAGGAAATGCTAAGCGTTTGCAATAAAAGGCCAATAAAGTGGGAGCATGCAGATATTCCAAAAAGAACAGAACCATTTACTTAACTCTGTAATCTTTTGATTGCATGAGCTCCTTGCGTAGTAAAGAGAACCCATGTGATTAGTCTCAAGGGACTTATATTTATAATTGGGAACTTTACTATTGGCCTTATTGAAAACACAATAGAACAGGAATGGATTAACTTCATAGAAAGCCCTGACACTGGGTGGTTATTACTGCTGAAAGGAACGTGTGTTCATATCTCATTGGTATCTGTGGCTCCCTCCTTAACACGTTCATTAGCTGTTTGGCTGGCACTTGCAAATCTTTCAATAAGCTGCACTTTTAAATAAAACGCTGTTTCCTACATTTGTTTTCACTCAGACTTTTCAAGTTTATTTTACTGTAGCTATTCAAAAAAACAGTTTTAGAACAGTTTATCAAATTAAGGGTAATTTCCCCCAATGGTCTAATTTAGTCTTCTGGCAAATTAACTGCAGTGCAGTGACTGACTAACCGGCCCGTTTCCTGGTTCATTAAGGTGCGCCTCGAGTGGCCCACTGACCTGGCCATTAACCCGATGGACAACTCCATCTACGTGCTGGATAACAACGTCGTGTTACAGATCACTGAGAACCGGCAGGTGCGCATCGCCGCCGGGCGGCCCATGCACTGTCAGGTGCCGGGGGTGGAGTACTCTGTGGGGAAGCATGCGGTGCAGACGACGCTGGAATCGGCCACCGCCATCGCTGTGTCCTACAGCGGGGTCCTGTACATCACGGAAACTGATGAGAAGAAAATTAACCGCATCAGGCAGGTCACGACGGACGGGGAGATCTCCTTGGTGGCTGGCATACCTTCGGAGTGTGACTGCAAAAACGATGCCAACTGTGACTGTTATCAGAGCGGCGATGGCTACGCCAAAGATGCCAAGCTTAGCGCCCCGTCGTCCCTGGCGGCGTCTCCCGACGGCACCCTGTATATCGCAGATCTGGGAAACATTCGCATTCGGGCTGTGTCAAAGAATAAGCCTTTACTTAACTCTATGAACTTTTATGAAGTTGCCTCTCCCACTGACCAAGAACTCTACATCTTTGACATCAACGGCACCCACCAGTACACTGTGAGTCTGGTCACTGGCGATTACCTGTACAACTTCAGCTACAGCAACGATAATGACATCACCGCGGTGACCGACAGCAATGGCAATACCCTTAGGATTAGGCGGGACCCGAATCGGATGCCAGTCCGAGTGGTGTCGCCAGATAACCAAGTGATATGGCTGACCATCGGAACAAACGGATGTTTGAAAAGCATGACCGCTCAAGGGCTGGAGCTGGTCTTGTTCACTTACCACGGCAACAGTGGCCTCCTAGCCACCAAGAGTGATGAGACCGGGTGGACAACGTTTTTTGAGTAAGTATATCAGAATTCTTCTTCGATTGTAAAATACTGGGATAAAATCTAAAATAATAACGTAATCCTGGGGGGATCTAGAGGTTCTATGATTTTAGCTTCTTTGTTCTGAACAAGAAGATAAAATGAGACTTGGGGCCTCTGAAGGGGCCCTTAGAAGTGAGAATCCCCAAGGCCCAAGTTCCAGCCACATCGTGGTAAAGCTACCTGTGCTTAAGGTGTAGCGTTTTCCTTCCTTCAGACTGAATGTACTAGCAACAAACTCTTGATGAACACGCCACGGCTTTGGTTTTAGGCCTAAACCCTTTGGGTTTACAGATGCCCGTGTGATAAGGTTATTTTGACACTTGTCACTAAAGAGGAAACTTAGAAACATGTGCAATGACCTTAGCTGATGATCACATCAGTACTATGAATGCAACTCTTTTTCCTTTTCTCTTTTCTCTTTCCACCACAGTGGACATACAATGTTACATTACATTAGCTTCCAGTTTACAGCACAGTAGACATTTGTGTAGCTTAGGAAGTGATCCCTGATAAGTCTAGTACCCACTTAACACCATACACAGTTATTACAGTATTGTTGTCTGTATTCCCTATGCTGGACGTCACATCCACACACCTATTTTTGGAACTGCCAGCCTGTACTTCTTAACCCCTTCATCTTCCTCACTCAGCCCTCCAACCCAACGCCCATCCAGCAACTCTTACTCGTCTTCTGTATCTATAAGTTTGTTTCTGTTTCATTTTTTAGATTCCACATATAAGTGAAATCATGTGGTATTTGTCTTTCTCTGACTTTTTTCACTTAGCATAGTCCCCTCTAGGTCCGTCCATACTATCGCACATGGCAAGATTTCATTCTGTTTGTGGCCGAGTCATATTCCATTGTGTATCTGTATCCCATCTTCTTTATCTGCTCATCTATTGATGGGCACTTAGGTTGCTTTCGTATCTTGGCTGTTGTAAATAATGCTGCAGTGAACCTCGGGGTGCATGTATCTTTTCAAATTAGTGTTTTGGATTTCAGGGGCAATAGATACCCAGGGGGGTAATTGCCGGGTCGTATGGTAGTTTCACTTTTAATGTTTTGAGAAACGCCCACGCTGCCTCCCACAGCGGCTGCACCGCCTGCACCCCACCGACAGTTCACAGGGCCCCCTTGCCTCCACAGCCTCGCCAGCATTTGCTGTTTGTCGGTGTATTGACGATAGCCATTCTGACAGGTGTGAGGTGATATCTCATTGTGGTTTTAATTTATATTTGCCTGCGTTGCATCTCTTCATGGGTCAGCTGGCCATCTGCACGTCCTCTCTGGAGAAGTGTGTATGCAGGTCCTCTGCCCGCACACACAGAGAAGAGTTTAACCTTTTATAATCAGTTGCTGGAGAATCTAAACTGCGCTTACAAGAACCTTACCACTAAATGCAGATCAGGAATTGCTGGATGCTGTGAAAGCCTATGGAAAAGTCTGCTGACCCAGCCAGCGTGCTCTACCGAACGTGCAGAATAGGGGCCTAGGGAATGTGCTGTTTCAACAGTCATATTTTCAGAGGCCAATCATAATGAAGTGAAAATTAGCCCTTGTATATTTTATGGTATATGTAGTTTGCAGTGAATGCCTGTATAAAATTATTTCGATTACTTATTCACTGCACAAACCATAAGGGGAAATTCGATATATAGAGGTGGCATTTGACAAATACAAAATAGTCCTTGAACTGAATATTGAGTTCCTTAGTGTGATTTTTGTAATGATATGCTGAAGCAAAACTATTTTCTGTGGGAACACACCTCTGAAATTATAATAAAAGTCAGTAGAAAAAAATGACCCAATAGACAAATATTTTTCGTACAACTTTCCTGGAGTGGATCTTACATACAACGCACAGTTCTCCTGTAGCTTGAATTGCTTTTCTTTCCTGACAGATCCCCTTTTAGTAAAATGAATGCTGCCCAGCAGCATGATTTTTGTCACAGGAACAACCCTCCCAACTGAATTACATTAAAATTTTAGGATCACACCAGGAAAGGAATAAGTTGGAAGTTAATGGCAAGGCCTTCTTTGCACCATTTTCAAAGCGATAGCAGGCTACGTTGCCGAAGAGGAAAAGGAGAAAGGGGACGGGAAAAGTCACAACCAGATGAGCCTGGGCAGGAGAGCTTGTTGCGCCATGAGGCCTTCAGGAAATGACGGTGACGCTGGCAGGTCTCAATGTCAGTGAGAGTCGGGGGGACAAGAGAGAAGTAAGTTCAGGGTAGAGTCTAGGACTCAAGCCATCTTTGAATGTGTCCTGACTTGTTCCCAGGACTTGACGCTGCACCGAAGCTTATCACACAGATTACTGCTGACACAAAAACTTCCTGCAGCAGATACAGTGGTGTACCTGCAGCCTGCAAATGAATTTTCACCGCGTTTGGAAAATTAGAGAAAGGGCCATACTGCATTGGTGGAGTTAGTATCCACAGATGTGAGATTTTTACCTTTTTTTTGTTAGGGCGCTCAGACACTTTCTCTGCCACAGACACCCTCGGAGAACAGCAGGCTTAGTCAAGACCCGATGTGGCTGCCCACACCGGGGTTGGCCTGGCGAGCCAACCTTGGGAACATAATGGGCAAGCACTGTTTTAAAGAATAAAAGTTTATAATTAACGTGAATAAGTCACAATCATACTTTCACTAATACAGACTCATGACACGTATGAACTATACCTATTGTCTTCTCTCTTGATAAGTTAAAGTCGACTATCACAAAAAGCACTTTATTTTTTTTAAGACTTTATTTGTTTATTTTTAGAGAGAGAGAAAGGGAGGGAGAAGGAGAGGGACAGAAACAACAATGTGTGGTTGCCTCTCATGTGCCCCTTACTGGGGACCTGGCCTGCACCCCAGGCCTGTGCCCTGACTGGGAATCGAACCAGCGACCCTTTGGTTCACAGGCCGGCACACAGTCCACTGAGCAACACCAGCCAGGGCACAAAGAGCACTTTAAAATATTTTAGCAAATAGAAGCCTCATAATCACATATATACATAGATGTTTTAAGAAACCAGTGCTTCAAAAATAACATTTCTAGTAAAATTGACAGAAATACTGCTTTTTAAAAGCAGAGGCTTTGTTCATTTTCCTCTAGTTAGCTACAGCAAAGACATGACTGAAAAATTTAAGAAACAATTATGCATTTTACAAAACAGAAAAAAAAATTACAGCATTTAACCAAATTCAGAATCGTCACGTCAGAACGACAGATGATCGTTTGTCGTCTCTGCACACGTGCTTGTCATCAGGCTGTGGAAGAGCGAGGACCACCTCTGCTCAGAGTGACAACCTCTGAACCAGTCCGAAGGGCAGGAAAGAAGGGAGGGGGTGTCATCGTTGGGCAGCCCCTGGCCTTGGTCTGCATGAGCTTGAGGTGGGCGGCAGGTAAGCTCAGCCTCTGTCACCACGCCTCAGGGCCCTGACAACCAGCCTTTGTGCTTCTTGCGCCCGACGGGGACATGTCAGTGGGTGCGAGGTCTCAGGAGAGACTCAGCTTCCCTGCCAGACGGCCTCGGGGCCTGTGGACGCCCAGAGCGTGCTTGCCTGTCACAGAGTCCCCTTCCTGTCTTTGTAGCGCTGTGTGTCTAAGCTAGACCTGAAGCGCACTTGAGGATTTCATAAATTGAGGAATAAGGAGGCATTCGAGAGGTCCAACAGTCTTCAGGGTTTTACCGAAGTCACAAGGAGGTTGTGAAAAGAAACACCATTCCCAATTGAAAACACCTGTGATCTATGATTTTTCATGACACCAGCCCCCATAATCACCTTTCTGCACAAATACCTGGCAGAGAGAAATTAAATTAAATTTTTCAGCCCAAATTCCCACTTGCACGTGTCCAGCTTCCTAGCGAGACCAGGGTCCAAAAAACCTTGAGATTAAAGCTTTACAGCATTAAAAACAGATGCAAAAAGACCTGGAATGAACAAATTTGCCTATGGATAAAAGTAGTTCCTCTAGTTCCTACCAAAAAAATTAGAAGACAGAACTAACTCAAATTACTTACCTTACATGTTTTAATTTATTACTTCTTTTCTCAGCACCAACTTCATTGGTGTGCCACAGTATTTCTGAGTACAGAATGAAATTGGAAAGTGTTTTATAAAACGCAAACTAATTAATTGTCTTTCTGGCTCCTGGAACGTTGTGTTGCATGTAGAGCTCTCCCAGTAGCTATTTGCTGAGTGAAGGAGTAGAAGAATAAACCGTAATGTAGACAGGTAAGTGTTATTTATAGAGAAGAGTCTGATAAACCTATAGCTAGTTCTTGCCAAGTCTTCCTGGGAAGGGGACCATAAAACTACTTGCTTGCCTTTTGAAAGTGTTCCGACCTCTCTATACCAATAGTTAATGCTAAAAATAGTAACACTTCCATTTTTGTTGCTGGTTTTTAAAAATAAATTTACCTACTATTACATGTCTGCTCTCTTTTTACTTTATAAAATACACACTTCATCAGTTGGCCTTATTATTGAAATAATTAGCAAAAATATGAATTTACATCCCTAGCACTTCTGAAACATTGGCATTGAGGAGTTTAGGAGTCAAGACGGAAAACATTTCCTTGCGCAAATGCAGTTAAACCATGTTGTGTACATGGTATCAGACAGGATCATTGTAGGGAACGAACACCTGGCTCCCAACCTGAGAGTCTCATCAGTCACCAAGGAAATCGGCCGGGGCGACCTTGAAAGGGCTCAGATTGTAAAGCACAGAAGCCTGCATTTCATCTTCTTCCGGGCAGCGCCTTCTCTCTGCGCGCTCCTGCCGTGTCCCTGCGGTGACGGGTTACAGCAGGGGCCGGGGTTCTCAGACGTGCCGCTGGGGGGTGTGATGGGGGACCGCAGGAGGGGTCAGGGGGCCCCACCCCGTAGGCCCCACATGCGGTAGGTTCCAGCTGGGTTCTAACTCAGCTTTGAAGTCTCTGTGTTAGACAAATGCATTTCACGAGCTGGATAATTA